CAGTCCCCAGCGCTCACCCCCAGGGCTGGCGGGGACACTCGGCCTCCCCCCGGCTCCTCTCCATCACCCCCCAGCCCAGGAAGAAGCCTCAGGCCGTGCAGCCCCTGTCCCCAACCGCCAGCCCAGCCGGGGGGCGAGGTGACCCCCCGCAGTGCCAGCAGCCCCCATGGGCAGAGGATGATGCCATTAGTCAGAGATGCCAGCGGGGAAGCACCTCCGCCAGGAGCGTCGGCCCTCCCGTTTCTTCCCCTCCCTGCCCTATTCCTGCAATCTGCTCTGCTATTTTTACCCTCCTCCGTGGTGCCTTCATTTTCCTTCCAGTACCTGCTCCATTTCCAGGACGTGTTTGTGCCCTGCAAGAGCGGTGCCGTTGAGCTGCTCTTGCAAATCCCCTACCGGGTAAGGGGCAACCTTGGAGCCTCGGCAGCCTGGGCTCTTGCTCAGAGCCTCTGCGGTGCTTCCAGAGCAAAGGGAAAATCAGGGCATGAGCAAGGGGCAAGGAAACCATGGGGAAAAGGCAACATAGCGAGGGGCGGATACAACCTGTGCCGTGGTAGGTTGTACAACGACGCGGCGGGTGCAGAGCCGGGGATCACACGGGCAGCAGCGGGGGAGAAGCCGCCCATGCGTCTCCCCCCGTCACTGTCCCCGTTTCCGTGACCAGCGCGGCCAAAAATCCCTAGAATGTCACAAAACCTGCAAGGTCCCGGCCGGTCCGGTCCCAGCGCACGCGAAGGTTGCACAAGCGCACGCAGCATCTCCCCTCGCCGCGGGCGCTTGCGGCACCCCGGTGGGCGCTACCGGGAAGAAGGCGCCGGGGAGGTGACTTCCCACCTTGCAATTTCCAGGTGCGGGAAAGGGCAGCTCAAGCTGCTGCTTGCCGCCGGTGCGTCACGCGCTGATGAAAGAGGCCTCCGAAGCGGATAAAAGGCCCCTGGGCTCTCTGCAGACAAGCCGGCCCCCGCAAAGCTCCTCGACAGCAGGTAGGTGACAGCGCGAGGGCCCGCGCGGCTCCCGGGCG